ACCTTTTATTTGAGGTTTTGATGAAAAGTACAATAAAGTAATACATTCTGAAAAATAACTAATCACTGACACTGTAAAAATCAAACAAAATGTAAAATGCTGCAAATTTCTAAACACGTAATGAATGAATGAATGAAATGAAATCTCCATTATGTCTGCGGCTCCCTTATTCTTTTAACACCAGGTTTGCAAAAAACAAATGTGAATTACGTTTGTCCTTAGTACCTCCGTTGTTGGGACATTTGTTGATCAGATCTTATTAAACTGGATCTTGACCTTGAAAATATTCTGTCATTTATTTTTACCAACTGTAACATTGTGTTATACTATGTAATTTTTAATACAGTTATTTCATACTCTGTTAATTGTTGATTATGATTCATCATGAATTAAAAATAAAATTTTTGCAGCAAACAAGATATTCATTCAATAAAACAATGAAATGATTTAAATATGCATGTGCACTGATTGTTATCACATGCGTTTTTCATTGAATGAATACTGTAAGTGTAATGTGTGCTGCAAAAAACTAATTTTTAATTTTATGATAAATTATTATAATTCAGTTTGGTCATCAACTATATACAAGTTGTTGGTTCTTTGTATCAAGAAACAAAATTGAAAAATAAAGTTTTTGGCATATATATATATATAAATAGTTTCCACCTATTTCTCATACATGCCTTGACCGATTGCATTCAAAACTCATAAATACATCATGTATACTTACACATGTCTATAGATTTTGTGATATGATTTGAGTATACTGGGTCATGGTCCGGTTTGGATAGAATTCATAGGAACTTAGTAAAAACATTAGACATTATGGAACCTTGATGCACATTATATTTTTCAAATCAGATTTAAAATGGCTACCTGACAAATTCAGTTCCAAAGCTATATATCAGATATTCCGCGACCAATCATTTTGGATATACATCGACCATGCATCATAATGCTCATATAATCATGTGGTGATTCAAGATGGCTGTTGATTTTAATGTGACAAATTCATCCAAATCAAGCTTTTCTGCAATTCCAGATCTGATCTCAGTCTTGCACAGACAAATTTTGATGAAACTTAGTTTGTACATTGAAATTTATGGGACTTTAATGCACATTTTTTTTTTTGTCAGATCAAAATGGCTGACTGATGGACATTTTTTTTTTAAGTGAATCCTGTTCTCAAGCAACACCTTTGACAAGCTCTTTACTGCTCATGTTCCAGCTTTATATATTTCTTAAACTTGCGAGCTCACAAGGATTTTGTAATGTAATTTCTTGTTTTATTTATAGCAAATGTCTAAAGCTGCTGCTAGTGGTGTTGGTAGAATTATGCGTGCTGTGAAAGTTTCTGAGTTTGGTGCTCCAGAGGTACTGAAAGTGCTCAGTGATGTAGCAATCCCAGTTCCTACAGGAAAACAGGTTTGAACCATTCATTTGAAAAGATAATAATTTAAGAAGTACATGATGATCAAATCATACATTGTTAATTAACTCGCCAGAGGCCATTATAATAATATATTTACCAGGAACTGAAATAGACAAATAAGTGAACTTGGAAAGATTTATTTCCTACTGCCTGCTTCTACTATAATAATTACAACACAAAAAACATTTCATGCACAACTGGATGTTGTTTTCTGGTCAGTATGGTTTGTTTCAATAAATGTCAATAAGATATTTTATGTCTTTTATTCTCTCTCCCCCAGAAAACTGTTATTCTAATATATTTGCCTAATTAATTGCTAATTACATTTTTAAATACAGGTTCTGATTAAGATTGCATCTGCTGGTGTCAATCCTGTGGACACATATAGACGTTCTGGTAACTATCCTCTCCTTTTAACATTGCCTTTTACACCGGGCAGTGATGCATCAGGTATCATTGAGAAAACTGGACCCGAAGCCACAAAATTTAAGGTGCTAAACTTAACTCATTTTGTTTAAAACTGTATTGTATAAAATTGAAAACTAGAAATTGTTTCTTTTATGTGTATTATTTCAGGGAACTGCTAAAAAAATTGTCCATACTATTAAATATATGAGTATTCATCTTCTGTATCATATTTCACTATATAAGATAAGATAATTCTTTATTACAACCTTATAGAATGAATTACATATCTATTTTGGTTTATGAAATGTAATAAAGGTGTTAAAATAAACATAACAAGTTAGATATCTAAAATCTACTACATATAAATAAATAACTAAATAATAAAATAAATAAATAATATATATATACATATATATATATATATATATATATCAATCCATTTCATTTCAGTCCGGAACCCGAGTTTACACATCAAAATGTAGCAGTGGCTCTTACGCAGAGTATGGAGTAGCCGCAGAGGATGATGTTCACGTACTCGCCGATACTCTTAGTTTTCAACAAGGAGCGTCAATAGGGGTCCCATACTATACAGCATTCAGGTCACTCTTTCAGCGGTAAGGACTGAATCATTATATGTTAGGGATTGTAAGGTTATAATGTGTGTGCAAATAATATGACTACATTTTAAGTAGTTGTGAAAAGATTTGGTATAATTGTGAATAATGAATGCACAAAACCCAATTCGGGATAATCATATTAATCAGCAAGTCAATATAATAGTCACTAGATAGTTTGTTGGTGCAGTTTGTTTTTCAGCCAATGTTTTTCAGGAAGAACTGTTTTTGTTCTCAGCCCTCACAGAAATAACAGAACATATATGATTTTTTTTCTGGTAAAAGAATATTTATACTAATCTAATTTCACTCGTCTTATTTTACAGGGGCAACTGTAAGGCTAGTGAAACAGTTCTTGTACATGGTGCTAGTGGTGCTGTAAGTACAAACATTATTTTCTATATGAAGAAACAGAGAATTATGCAATTAGAGTGTGTGCTCATGGACAAAAAGTATCTTACTCATTGCTACAGCTACAGTCTTTAATACTGAGAAATATTTGTATACTACCAGCATATCTTCTAGGTCTTAAAATCACTGGTTTATTAAGAAAACAATATATTTAATGGGTAACTTTGCATATTCACTAAGATTTAGCGCATTTAACAATCAGCGAAAAAAAAGGGAAATTACACTTAACTTGTATGTGTGTCCTTTACAGTACATGAAGAGATAGAGCCATTGCTGTGGTATTGTTACATATGAAGGCTTGAATTTCATTTCATCAAAGGCTGCATTTCCATAATAAATATAATTAATAATATGAGCTTAATACGAGGATACCGCAAAGTATGCTCAAAGACAGTGTAGCAGGAGTATAGGCCGCAACACAGCGACCGCATACTGTCTGAGTGCATACTTTGCAGTATCCTCATAATAAATTTTTTTATTATACATCTCTTCCTTCAGAAATACATCATGGGAATATGGAAACAGAACTTTGCGCTTGGGCAGCCCTGTTTGTTTGTATTATTATTAGAGGACGCTTACACACGTAATCATGGTTCCATATTTGGAATTTGTATTTCCTATTATAGTAGGATGAAAATACTCGGTGCAATACCGCGAAATTATGGCACGCTGTAACTTATGGAGTTACGGTGACAGATGTATAATAGCAATAAAATAATAATAAAAAAAAACACATAATACTTCTGGTAGGGCCATAGTAATATTTTGATTACACTGTATGTCTACTTTGGTCTAAGATTGATGCTAGATATTCTGTCATGCTTAATTCAGTAACACACACTAGTGCATCATATATTTTCAGTATTTATATTGACTCAGAAATCATAACTTATTTTTTTATCCTATTTTAAATTTTTTCACCATTTAAAATATTATCACATATACCCCACTTCTCTCTATTAGGTTGGCATTGCTGCTTTACAACTTGGCAGTGCCTATGGTTTGAACTTATTTGGAACTGCAGGAACGGCTGATGGTTTGAAACTAATAAAGGAACACGGTGCAATGAAGGCTTTCAACCACAATGACAAAGACTATGTCCAGAAAATAATGGTGAGCTTATAACGCATAGAATATTGTTTATTTTGGGCCAACAATATTTAAAACTTGCAGCCCATGTATAACCCCTCCCCCCATCCCACCTCTTGCCATATTTTGTTGCATAAGTCTTTTTATATACTTTGTTAGTATGAAAGATAGATATAAATGCTTGTTTGCAAAAGTTGTAATGTTGCCACCAAAAACAAACTTACAAGATAGATAACAAGCTGAATGGAATCAGGTGATAAAATGTGTGATTATATTATTAAATTTCCTTGAGTGTACAGTGAAATTGTCTGAATTTGTTGACACCTAAGTTTTCAGCCAGTAGTTCCACTGCATTAGTCCATTAATACTAGCGACAAATTTCTTTAATTATTACTTACACTTACATTAAATTATTTGATGTTATTTTGTCAAAATCCTATAACTGTGTATGCACATTTGTTGCACCAACATTCCACAAACTGATTAACTGATTTGGAAACTTCATGCTGATAAATTCATGACACAACCTCAATATTCAGACACTGTATTTAAAAACTACAAGATGCATGCATAATAATTAGTTAATTTGCATATCAACTTTGCTTAAGTACTGTTGTCTCCCGATTCAGATAAGTTCCAATAATCAGATAATATATATATTATATTGGTTAATATGATATATCATTTCTCTTCTATATGTATATGTATATGTAGGATGAAACTGAAGGAGAAGGAGTGAATGTCATCCTGGAAATGCTAGCTAATGTCAATTTACAGAAAGATTTACAGATGCTGGCACCCAAAGGGAGAGTCCTCGTAAGTTATCAGTGTTAATTCTACTTGTAAATCTGTGTAAACAAAATTGTATTCATGTAATGAAACGTCTCCAATTTATATGTGTAGGTAGTAATTGTGTGGCTTATCATTAAATCAACAATATTTCAACCAGTTTGCTTTTTAAATATTTAGCTGAGGTTTTTGGAGGTGAACATTTTGAGAAAACAAATGTTTTGGGGTTTTCTTGGGCTGAGAAAATAACCAATTCATTACACAAATTAACAAACGTAAATATATTCTGTTTCAGTACTTATCTTCAAACTTGGATTGTTTAGATGTATGGTATTACTATATTTAGATGATATTGCAGTGGTGGGGCACGTGGGTGGGTGTTAGATGGGTGGTCGCCCCTTAAAAAAAACTGTTGGCGGGGGCCTTACCCTTTGTGTCAGCAAATTTGTCCCTCAGAATGCAGGGAATAGCTTTCAGACAGTCTAGATTTCAAAATTTTGAAGTTGAAGCATGCCCCCAGACCCCCTAGTAAGGTCGCGCTTCGGCACAAGGTTTGTGAGCAGATTTCGCCCTCCCCATGCAAGATTTTGTGCCGCCGCCTTTGTATTGCTCTTAATGATACAAGATTCTAGTTAGTACCCGTTCGGACGAAGTCCGAAAACGGGGACTTATAATTCGGTCTCTGTTCGTGCGTCTGTGCGTCCAGAGTCATATCTCAGAACCTCTTGGGCCGATTCCGTTCATTCTTTGCATGTGCCTAGTACTTTATGTGGGACATATGCACATGCAGTGGTTTAGCGATTCAATTCAAAATGGCTGACTGGCAGTCATCTTGTTTTTTGAAAATGTTGTATTTTGGACATGCTTTGTCAGTTTTCATTCAAACTTGGGACATAGATTATACATGTTAGGATACATGTTCATGACGATTTATTTCACAATTGGATCAAAGATGGCCGACTGGCAGCCATCTTGTTTTTTGAAAATGTCGTATTTTGAACATGCTTTGTCAGTTTCCATTCAAATTTAGTACATAGATCATACATGTTAGGATACATGTCTCGATCGTCTGTGAGTTCCTGAGTCTGTCCGTCCGTGTGTCTGTCCGTCAGTGCGTCAGTCTGTCCAGAGTCATATTTCAGAATCCTGTGGACTGATTCCGTTCATTCTTTGCATGTGCCTAGTACCTTATATGGGACATATGCACATGCAGTGGTACAGCGATTCGATTCAAAATGGACGACTGACAGCCATCTTGTTTTTTGAAAATGTTGTATTTTGGACATGCTTTGTCAGTTGTCATTCAAACTTGGTACATAGATTATACATGTTAGGATACATGTCCATGACGATTTATTTCACAATTGGATCAAAGATGATCGACTGGCAGGCATCTTGTTTTTTATTTTTTACGCGGTATCTTGGACGTGCTCTGTCAATTTTTATTCAAATTTGGCACATACATGTATTTTATACATGTTAGGATGCATGTCCATGACAATTTGTTTCAAAATCTGGTCAAGGATGGCCGATTGACAGCCATCTGACATTTTGGCTTTACTACTATATTTCCACAATTTATGTACCATTTTCATTCGTATTTGGCACATACATCATACATATCAGTGTGTTTCATAATCAGATCAAAAGTGGCCGAATAATGGCTGTTTTCATTTTTGGCCATATTACTACAACATGGAACACATGTTTTGATGTAAATAAACAATCTGTTGTATACGCCACTTGGAACTCAAGTTTCAAGGACACGCTCGCGACAAGCTCTCCGCTCTAATATGACGAGCACAAAGAGAACTTTCAAAAATTTAACAGAGACTGTGTCATTTTCAATGACTTGTTTTCTTACGAGTATATGCTGATACTTGGATTATAGATTTATTACTAGCATATTTGCACAGTCTGAAATTATTCCTGTGCACAAACTCAGTTGGGAGTCATTGTGGTTACTATGTACATGTGTAAGTACATATGTACATGTCTGTTTCACCAAGACCACCAGATCCACTTGTCAGATTTCAATAAAACTTGGTACATGGATGCCCTCGGGTAGTGCACAGACCTGCTGGTACTAGTTTTTAGTCATTGAATGCCGCTATCTAAGCTGTTCATATATAAGTGATTTTCCAATGCCTTCCTTCTTGAATTCATCAACTTTTGAAATCAATTACTTCTTTTTGATTGCTTTGGTTCTTAGTATGTAACACCTCTTAGAAATTGTTTTATTTCATGACAATGTCTTAAACTGTCTATTTAATGAATATAATTTTTTTTATAATAAATCATATCTTCTATCAGATTTGTTCATTTTGTGCCAATATCTCTATTTGTTGAGCATATTTTTGTCATTTTTAGTAAAAAAAGGTATTTTTTAGCATTCACTTTAACAATTGCTCTTGTACTTGGTATGCAGAAACCTTCGGTATAACCCAATGAATTCAACTTAGTTTTGAGAAATATAATAATCTACAAAGGGGCTATTGTAAGGTCATCTCGTAAATCCTTGATATATCCCATCACCATACATAGATACCAGAGTTGCATACCCATATCTCTTAAATTCTTAATATATCGTTATAACCATACATAGATGCCAGAGTTGCATACCCTCATCTTATAAATACATATTTTATCAGATATCACTATACATAAATATCACAGTTGCAAATCGTCATCCTATAAATTCTTATATCATTTCATTTGAACAATAGTGACTCAGTTTGGCTGTTCATATACATTTATAGATTTAGGTAATATATTTAATTTAGGTAATTGGTAACCGTGCACCTACTGAGATTGATGCCAGACTAACCATGACAAAGGAAACGTCTATTATAGGTGTTAGTTTAGGAAGTACTACAAAGGTTAGTGAATATGTTAAATTGTATTGTTAAATATTAATCAATTTGAAAAAATCTTATTTAAAAAAATGTTGTCTTGGAGCCATATCCTTGACGTTTTTTTTACTGATTGCAATCAAACTTTATACATACCTCATATCATACATGTTCAAATGAATTTGTTCCAATTTGTAATGAAAAATTGCTGTCTTGTCGCTGTTGTTGTGGAACTGACTCATTATCCATGACCAAGTGCAAGATCAAATGTGGTAATAACTATTCGCCTTAAAGCGGGAGGGTCGTCACCTGCGCATGTGCGGGAATTGAGTCCCAAGCAACTATAACAACACACGCTAAAACGCAAAGGCTCATGGGTAGACGCTTGTTTGTAAACGATGACACGCTACGGCCATATGACGCATGCACAGATGACGACTCCCCAGCTTTAAATCTGACAATTTTGTTTAGATTACGCGCAACACTTGTTAATCAGTATTAAATTCGATAGATACAGATATTTGATCAGATATCAACAATAAAACTTACTTTAATGTATTGAACATTTATTCATACTTATTAGACATATTGTATTGCAAAATGTTGAATTCTGAGATTATATTATTTTTCTCTTCTGGTGACTTGCTACATTTGTATTAACAGGAGGAGTTTAAAGAGATAACAGCTGCAATGCATGCTGGGTTTGTCAAGGGATATTTACAGCCTGTGGTAGGTAAAGAATATCCACTTGAGAAAGTAGTAGAAGCTCATCATGAAGTCATCGAACATAAAGAAGGATCACATGGGAAAATCGTTCTAAACATGTAATCAACACCAATATTCAATGAGAAATACAGATATCAATTTACATAACCAAGAATCAGTTTTTAAAGTCTGTATTTACTCTGATAGGATAGTTACTCATTAGTTACTCAACATGACTTGCCACACTTGACTTGATGTTTTACATTCAGTAGTGACTTGCAAGTGATTGGTACACAGTATAACTTGAAAGTCCACATGAGTGTATAACTCTAAAAATCATGCAATGAAAATTTGATGTGTGAATTATACATGTAAAATATATCCTGTTGCTAGAACCTTTAGAATCAGTAGATGTTGGTCATGTTTATAGCTTCAGGCGAGACACGTTTTCATATAGTTCACATTTAAGATTGCCCTTCTCCATTATCAATCATAGATAAAGGTGATTTTTGGTTTGGATTATTTTATTTTCCTTAGAAAGTGAGCATGATTCAGAGAAACATAACATATTTGGATCTGTATTAACTGACATGCTATTGTGCCATCACAAGTGTAGTCTGAAGGCATGCAATTTCATAAAATTGAGTTTACAGCACACTCGCTAAGGGTTGACACCTTGTAACATGCAACCAAATCCATAAAGTTCACAAGTTTTGAATGTTGGGGGAAGCATACAAATATAAAAATTATCACAAGAATAGACATAACTGAAGTAGTGGACTAGGACTTGGCAGTCAAACTATTCTCTCTCTAAGCATGCGGCAAAATAAATTGATATTGTAAATTAGCTGAATGTGACAGCTGATATAAGTATATTCTAATCTCGGTGGTTTTGCTATATCACCATCATGGCTATGTCACCACCATTCTATTAATTGTTATCACAGAAATTGAAAATACAATTTTAGACTAAAAACGACAAAAAATATTTGCTAAAAATAGAAAAATTATATCATCACATTATAATTATATCGGGGCTGGGCGGGGCTGGGCGGGGCGGGGCGGGGCTGGGCGGGGCTGGGCGGGGCTGGGCGGGGCGGGGCGGGGCGGGGCTGGGCTGGGCTGGGCGGGAGCTGGGCTGGGCTGGGCTGGGCTGGGCGGGAGCTGGGCTGGTCGGGTCGGGAGCTGGGTGACAACTGACTGAATTCGTGTTCACGTTCGTCTTGCACAAGCACGAACAAAAGAATATTAATTAGCAATGACAATACATGCTGTCTATTCTAATTCCGCAGCTGGGCAAGCCTCACTAGCTAATTGGGCATTATCAAAATACATTTATTTTACAGCAAAAATAGAATATCATAACACTGCGTGTAGTGCTTTGATATGACTTTTGCACTGATTGTACTTATATAATGGTCATTGCAAATACCATTTGACCCTGCGCTCCTTTATCGAATCATCGCTGCAAAAACCTAAAAGAGAATGATAGGAATACATCAACATAATTATACAGTATACAGTGATGGCACGTTTGCAATTCATAAATAGGTATTTCACATTTGTTTGCGATTTGAAAGATACACAACATGTACGAGTTATTCAACTCAATTTATTTACTCACCTTGCCAGAATGTGTTGGTCCGAAACGACTCAATGTTCCATATACTTCAACGAAGTGACACGGCCAGAATAATAATAAAACAAACTGAACACGCATATGCACATCTTTTCCCTAGACACTAATATGTACGTTCATTTGTCGCGTGCTCGTTGATATGTTTTACGATCCCCTTCTTGAAATTACCAGTATGTGAAAATATTATATCTAATATACTCGTTTAATTTCATGGGTATGATCTGTTTCAGAAATGTCAAATAGACCGAATCGAAATGACTTGTACACACATCTTAGTAGCACGTGGAAATTTGACGAAACTGCTGTATTCACCAATAACTATACATTGAGTGCACTACACAACGCATCTACAAATTAGATAGTGTACTTGCATAGATAACAAACACAGATGCTGCGGTTAACGATTAATATGCAAATATACAGTGATTTTTTTAATTCTCACTTTTACTTTTTTGTGGTACAATTCAATAATTGTACGTGTTCTCGTAGATTTACAATGCGGCCGACGATACATTTACCTACACAATTAAATATGGTGATCATATGACACTCAACTAAATTAATAAATGCAACGTAATATATTCGATACGTACAGTTATACATCTTTAACAATCCAATCATCGGTAGTTAGGTCTTTGTGTATAACCCCATAATTGGTTTTGTCATTTCTAGGCTGATTCATGCAGTCAGTCATATATCTGTTCTATCAGCATGTACGACAATATTTCCACTGGCCAAAATAATATCAGGGTTACGTATCTGATACACCTCATATGGTACAATATATTTGACTACGATATTTAAAATATTCAGCCAGATAGTCCAGTATATTGAATTTCTAGAAAAATTACAAGTAACTAGTTACATATTGATATTCAGCAGAAAAAAGCATACTTCGAAATTAAACTTGACAGTTATCGGTAAAAGATGGAATACTTGTAATTAATTGATTGATCGTAACATATGTGTTCTGATGACACTTCGCTACGTGATATTGTAAGCATAGTGAGAATAGTAAATAATCAGTGATTTTATGGTATAATTTCTCATACGCCAAGAATAGTGTTTATTTGTCAATAATTCGAAGCTAATTGGTTTAGGTGCAACAAGTTGTTTAAACTTAATTAATAAATAAATATGCTGCTGACTTTGGAAATAATTTTCATTAGTATGATCAATGGAATTTGTCATTAAAAAAACAATGATGAGAGTATCTCGCACACTGTTCAACAACACACTCCAATCGAAAGATCGCCAATCATGATGGTATTTCGTTGGATTTAGCTATTTTAGCGCTATTGACGTGTGACATCGCCAACGGAGCGAGTACACAATGACCTAACATCATGTTTTCATAGTAATTACACGAGTAATTAGGTAATTGTAAAAATGGATTGCATACTGATGCATTGAGTGTTTTCACAATGTTCATTATTTTTGCAATGTTAATGAAACCAACATATAATCAATACATCTTAGCATTTATGCTTAATACTATTCTTAATTGATTAGTTGACCGCTGGAGAATAGTTACGTATTACTGAAAAAAAAGGACTTCTTGTGACCCTGCTTCTCCTGCTATAATAATGACATAGATCAGACATGGCCGTGCCACATCCATTGTACTGGGAGATAAGAAAGTGCACGGTAAATGATGTGGGTTTCTTGGAGTTTCTTATGGAAATCCACACAGCAGCTTTGTGAAATATGATTGTCAGCGTACAGTCCAGTATTTTATTTCTTGTCGGGATCACTGAATAGCTTCGTTTATTTCGGAGTTTGGTGGCGATATATCTTTTTTTTTCAAACGTGATTACACTATAAATATAACCTATATAATAACCGTTTTCTACATATATATATAAATAGTTTTGATACCAGAACCGTGTCGTGAACCATCACTTAACACTCAATAATTTGTACGGTATAAGTTCGTCAGTATGGAGGATATTAGGAGACAATGGCAAATAGGCGTGCAAACTACGCACTGTTGAAATATAGGTCGAAATATTCCGTTACTGCATCTGAACAATG